TCAATGCAATAAGATTCATTTTTGGTGTTGGGATTCTATGATGTGGTTTTGGAAGTTTTTGGAGCCACAAAGTTGGTTTAAATTTATAATGTGTGAACTGGAATGCTGCTGCTATTATGTATGTATTTTTTTGTTTTGGTATGGATCTGCCAAGTAAAGTTTTCCAGCTTCAACTAAAAATATAAAAAAAATCCAAAAGACTTGGTTTAGACACTTAGTGTCTCCCGTTTGTTGGTTTCCATTGTTTTTGGTACAAGTGAGATTTCTTTTTAAACTTCAGTTTCCCTCCTATTTTGCTAATTGTATATTCCCTCCGGTTCTTTTTAAACTTCAGTGTTTGACTTCACAGTTATTAAGAAATAAAGTTGACTTTACTGTAGAGTACACTGTTGAGACACTATTTGACACTGTTGACACTGTTGAGACACTGTTTGGCACTGTTGAGACACTGTTTGGCACTGTTTAGCACTGTTTAACACTGTTTTGATGTATATTTCTTTGCCAAATAAGGAAATAAGGAAGTATGAAGTTTATTTTGGACCGTCCCAAAAAGGAAAGTGTGAAGTTTATTTAGAACCGGAGGGAGTAATAGATCTCTTATCAGGTACTCTTATTCTGAAAACTGGAGTGACTCTAGCTAGCTACTGCCATAAGCTTTGAGTTTAGTGCTTGCTTTCTCATACTTCATATTTCTTTTTTTTTTTCTTTTTTTTTTTCTTTTCTTTTGATTGCAAGTCTTTGTTACTGTACTTTATGGATTCATATGTACCAAATTAGGGGCGAGCAGCACCTTGTTTGTATAAGGTTCCAAACCTATTAAGCTGCCCGCAAGCTAAATCTATAAAAGTTTACCTATCAGGTAAAGTTTCAGGCATACAAGTTTATAATATTAGTGTTAATTCTACAAAAAACAAATTCAAACCGCATTTTTCCAATTTTTTTAAAGTATAACCAATGTAATACAGGTGATATGCTTGTCTTATTGATTCCTGATGCTTGCAATGAATATAGATACATATAATGAGTTAGAGTTTCAAAGTATTAGTTATTAAATTTTTACCAACTAGAAGTTTAGTGTGCTAGCTATATATTTGTAAAAATGTTCACAAGACATTCTTTTCATACTTTTAATTGTTTAAGAGCTCTTTCAAAATCTTATGATCCTTTTACAGGATATCTGCATTTGCTATATATTTTCACCTATTTTCTGGAAAAGTTTAATGCAATGGTTTTCATCTCTTTAATACAATTTTCTCATATATATATGACCGAACGCTGGTGATATTTGCGGTGCATGTATATCAGACCTTCTTACTCCATGTTTTTTTATGAATGTAGGGTAGAACACCCTTGACCATGAGCGTATATTTCCTCTAATGAGTGATTTGATAACATATTTTAGAGGCTCCAAACACAGGATTTTACTAGCTCAGTGTGATTGGACTTGCAAGAGCACATAGTTGAGAACCAACAATCTACTTCATTGGTTAGTATTTACAAGTTATTAACTTTTTTTCACAATAAATAAGTGTAATAGTGTACATTCATATCTAAGTTGTACAACTTAATTGTTAGTGACCTTTTGAAGCTATTTAAAATATTTGGAACCTTGAATTTTCATTGAAAGAAATAGGTCTGTAATATGCATAAATGTATAATCAACTGGGTTGGTGACCACTTCTCATTTATGTTGGTCGTAGATTGTCTTTTTCATATCAGGAATAAATAAAAAACCAAGTTATGCATAGTATCTATATAATTTATATTTTAAGCTAAGAGGTTTATGCATGGCCCTCCAGTTTGATGGTCATGATTCTCTTCTATATTTGAGTTGTCCGGTTTAACTCAGTCACCATTCCTTTATATCTAATTTATTCTGCTAAATTAATTATCATCAATGTCACCACCATCACTCATCACCTATGTAGCACCGATACATGTACGCAGAATCGTGGAAACGCGGAAACGGGTATGGCGATACGACAAAATAAAACAAAAGTAGGATATGGATACTGGGCCGTTTAGCGCAAGGCTGAAATTATGAGGCTGTTTGCTAACACTATTTTTCAGCTTATCAGGCTTATCAATCAATGTTTTCACCAAACACGTAACTTTTGTTTTCGCGTTCTGATTGTGTAATAATAAGAAAAAATAAGGTTGAAGTTACTTTTCTAGCTGTATTGATTGAAGTTACTGTAGACAACCATTTTAGCTATATTACATATAGTTTTTTCTTTATTTTACTAATAAAATTTATTTTGAAAACATTTTTTCCTTGAATCAGCCAATGCAGTCACTTCAACCAGAACTTCATAAATTTCAGCAGAATCAGCCGATTGAGTCGATTTTTGTGTTACCAAACGGACTCTATATTTGTGTGTTATGTCATGGGGATGATTTTGTCACATACTCACATTCTCTCATGCAAGGCACATGTATTGACGTTTGTTTTTACCATGCTTATATTAATTTTTAAACGACTCTCGACAACTACATAGATAGTACATGACATGTTTTTTAGCCAAGAGGTATGCTAATCTAAAATTCCAACTACACTATCAGAACACATTTCAACGAGTTGCTTGATATTTGCTTACAATGGTAATAGACTAACAGTTCAACCACATTAACACATAAAATCCATTTTATATTATTCTAATATAAATGTATATATGCAAGTTTTTGCATGCGATTCAGTTTTACTATCCAACAACATATATATCCTACATATATTGATGCAATGAAAAAAAATATTGGGAATTTTTCTCTTCGCGCAACGCGCGTCGCAAAACTAGTATTAATTATAAACAACAGCCGCTTCATCAATCGATCGACCACAACAAAATAAAAACAAAGCATCAATACATCGATCTTCAGCATGGGATCAGAAGAGCATCAATTCACAAATCAAAGAGCAACATGGGACTGGAGCATCGATTAGCATCTATGGAAGTGCTGGCATGATTTGTTGATGGATTAGATGATGACGATGATGATGATGATGATGATGGTGGTGATGATGATGCTAGAGATGAATAACCTCACACATAACTCATAACTCTAGCATCAAAGAGATGATTTATGCAGAAGCCTTGAAAGCAATTTTTTGCTTTGATTTCTTTTATATAGGGGAGAGTTCAAATAAAAAGTGGTCTTCCTGTGCGAAGTGTGAAAATTGCACTTTTTCATGTTTCGCTTTCACTTTCTCGTATTTCCTTAGCACTTTTTCGTCTTTGTGATTTTGGGCTAATTCGGCCAAAACCACGGCGGCAGTTATGTAAATAAACCGATTTTTTTCGCTAATGCGAAAAAATGTATCGAAAACAAGCAAAAGTGCAAGCGAAACATGAAAAAGTGCAAATTTCGCACTTTGCACGGGAAGACAACTTTTTATTTGAACTCTCCCCTATATATATATATGTTTTGGTTGAAGTGATAAATGCATCTAATGTGAGAAATGAGAATGAATCTCAGCCGTTGGATTTTCGATTTTGCACTGAAGCTTGATTTTGCAATAAGATTTAATTTTTTGCAGTGTTGCAATAAAACTATTTCATATTGCACTAAAATTTGATGGTGTTGCACCAAAACAGCTTCATGTTGCACTAGATGACTGTAATACGGATTTTTCAGAAAATGCCACCAAACTAGGTTGAATATTTTAGTGCAATATAAAATGTTTTTACTGCAAAATAGTCGAATCCAACAGCTAAGATTCATTCTCATTTCTCACCCTATATATATATTATACAATTTAGACAATTTATATATTGATTTGACTCAAATTACATTCGAAAATACCTGCAATTAGATAAGAATTTGCTTAAAGTTATATATCTATTAGCGTGAATTACATGTCAACTTTCCTCAGCAAATTACATCATACTTACATGTGATTTACATTTTATATAATGTGAGTTACACAACAATATAATTCGAGTTACACAACATAATAAGCCCGTGTTATTAAAAGAAAAATCATTTTCATAAAAAAATCATTTTTATAGCCCTGATATTAAAACAAAACATATACACTATTTATGTAAAATAATTGGACAATTATACTTCTTTTTTCATTGAAATCAATATTTTATTTCTTATATTATGTATTGGACAAGTTACACTCCGACTAGACTTGAGTTACATTCATCAATAACGTGAGTTATACTTCGTATTTCTTTACACATGAGTTACATCATTCCGCTACTGGAATATGAGAAAAATAAAAAGAAGTACTGTACACGCGATTTTTTTTAAATGACTGAAACTACGTCGTTTGGGAAATGAAGCATGATGCACACCGTGGGATGATCCCACGATATATGAGCTGATTTTATTTTATCATATAGAAGGTCTCACAATCAGACAAAGGGTGGGAGTAGCACCTATTGAAGACGAGATGCGGGAGTCGCGCCTACGGTGAGTTGGTAATGTGCGTAGAAGCCCGAGTGATGCACCTGTCAGACGAGTTTAGATGTGTGGAGAAGAGACAGGGAAGAGAGGGAGAGGAAGACCTAAACAGACGTGAGTTAGGGGAGCCCGAAGTGATATGCTTCTTCTTGGGTTAGATGAAGGTATGACTTTGGAGATAGCAAAGTGGAGGACGTATATTCGTGTGGAGAAGTGATCTCGTGTTATCTTTTCCCCTCATTTTTTCCTTGTTTTTTATCCTTATATATATAAATATTATTTTTTCCTTTTTATTCTATCATTTTTAGGTGTGTTCATATCTTTTTATATTATGTTTTTCATAATAGCTTTTTTTAATCTTTATTTTCTATTTTTCTATCTTTTTCTTTTAGTGGTGATATCATGTATAATTCATGTTAGTCGACCAAAATATCTTTTGAGACTAAGACTTGGATGCTGTTCAAAATTTCTCAAAGAGAATTCAATTTTGTTTTTCTTATGTCCAAGTGTCCAACCCCTCCCCTATTCCGGTAAAAAAGAATGGAATTTGCCCGTTAGTCTCAAATACTCCGTAACTCTTTTTTGAAATCTTAATAATGGGCCCTTCTTAGTTTGACTGAAACGACTTCACTGTCATCCTCTAGTGCTCATTCTGAACAAAACCTGTCTTCTCCACTCGTTCTTCACTGAGTAAATTTATATTGTGGTTTACCTAATTTTCTTTTCCTTTATTTAGTATTTTAACTTAGAGTGCCCAATAAGTGATCTTGAGGACGCTTTTCTGATGCCATTGCCGATGATGGGCAGGATGAATAGAGAAATTTGTATGAGAATGCGAGCTTTCTTCGTTTTGGCAATTTTTGCAGCGTCAACTTGCGGATGCTTGGGGATTACTACATATACTGACCCCAGAGATGGTAAGACTTTTTTTCATTAGTAAAAAAGTTTTTTTTTTTGTTTTATTTGCTTGTTGCAGACGTAATTACAATCTTTGTTGCTGCACTATCAGGAGTATTTCTACTATACACACTTTGATTCCAAAGATTGTTCCTTTCATGTTTTCTTTTCCAGTTGAAGCGATTTCTGATTTGTATATTGCTTTGGGTCATCCACCTCTTTCCGGTTGGAGTATAACCGAGGTAGACCCATGCCTGGAACCAAACAAATGGCAAGGCGTCGAATGTGTGTTCTACAATATAACTGGGATGTAAGAACAATTGAATGCTCAAATTTCCATCAATGGGTTGCAATTTGCAGAGTTTAACCATTGATTTTGTTCTGGTGTTGTTTTTTATGGGACAGAATTCTCAGCGGTGCAAATTTGACTGGTGAATTGAGCCAGAATTTGGGAAACTTCACTTCACTCATAGAACTGTACGGATCAATGGCTCATTATTGTTGTTCTTATGTTTGGGTCCAGGAGGGGGGCAGTAAAATGTGGCAGGAGAGTGTTTTTATTTATGATAGTTCCACATTGTTTTTGAAATATTAACACCAAATTTGAATCTTATTATGTTGCATGGGAACACGGGAAACATGGGGAATGTGAAACTGGAAACATTATCTTTAATAAGTGTTTTGACGAGTTTCGGAAGCGAAGCACTCCTTCCCAAGTTTCCAGGCATGATAGGAATCGGCAAGGCTTTTGGAAAGTATGATCTTGAGGGATTAGTAAATGAAAGATAAGCTCAAATGCTAATTTATGTGGTGGCAGAGCCAAAAACATAGTTTCAGGGGGCCACATTAAGAGCTTGAAAACTTTACTGGAGGGACCAAACCTTCAAATTTTAACATGCTTTTTATTGATCATAAATATTTGTAATATAGGCTAACTAGCTCATCCAAAGGCTTCCTCTCCAACCCCCCCCCCCCCCCCCCAAAAAAAAAAAAACGCTTCATCCATACGGGCCCTTAAAGTTTTTTCTTTCTAACTGAATCGGGGATCTGAGCAACAACCATATTGGAGGTAGCATTCCACCCAGCTTGCCTACTACTATCCAAACATTGTATGTAATATATCTGATCTGCTATTTTGTTTAATAAGAAACCCTAGATCCTCATTCCATCACTGTGAAGTCTGAACATAGTATGTTAGTATTGTTATTGTTACTACTACTGCTGCTGCTACTATTCATATTGTTAATTTCACTAATATTTTGTATATAGTTCACTTGCAGGTAATCATTTAATAGGGAGCATTCCGGACACAATATCCACATTGGGACTAATGACTGACTTGTATGAATCTTTATTTTCACCCTCACCTTTTCCTTTAGTTGCGCAAAGCTTTGAGCTTTAGTTGCGCAAAGCTTTGAGCTTTAGTTATGTTGCAGGAATTTGTCTGGTAACAACTTAAGTGGTCAACTTCCTCCTTCAATGGGGAATTTGCCTTCTCTTACCACCTTGTAAGTTTTCATTCTCATTAGTTGTTTCTACTTTCTAAAAGTACTCTTCTAAAGGTAAGCTGGCCTTGCCTTACCTTACCTGGAAGTTCTTGAGTTCGAAATGTGGGATTATTATACTCCGTATTACACTTCTGATTTTTTGTGTTTACCTTTTTCAGGGATTTGCATAACAATCAGTTGTCTGGTTTTCTTGATGTTCTACAAGGCCTTCCACTAATCAATTTGTACTCTTTTATCCCCCTTGCTCAATTTTTTTTCTAAGTGTTTCAATTTATATCAAAATATATTAATTTGTTTTTTATCATCTATTGATGCATGGAAAACATCTCCATGCTGATGATTATTAAGATCTGTAGCTTCATTCTAAGGTCAACTTGAGAGCAGAAGTGTTCTTAATATTTAGGCTATGAGATAATTTAATATTTAAATCAGTGTGCTCTTTTGAGTTTTAGTCAGTGCTTGAACTTTATTGGCTTTGATTACCTATATTATTACTTGATGTACTATCATAAAATGTCAAATTGAAAGGAAACATAGTCTGTTAAGTTCTGTGTAACTCATCCTAAAAGGAGACACAATATATTGAATTAAGCCTAGCTTATTATAAAATATCATTTAGATGTCAGGTCTTGTTTCTTGTTGGAGCTTAGTAAACTCTAATATAAAGAAATTGCTCAAAGTAGGAGAAAAAACAAAGTTCACGAATAAAACTAATTATGCTTTATTCTCGACTTATTTAGTTCTAATAAAAGAATATCATTTAGATGTCAGGTCTAGTTTCTTGTTGGCGCTTAGAAACTCTAATATAAACAAATTGCTCAAAGTAGGGGAAAAACAAAGTTCACAAATAAAACTAATTATGCTTTATTCTCGACTTATTTAGTTCTAATACAAAATAAAAACAATTGAAGTTCAACTTTTAGGAGTGAATGAGTCATTTTTGAGAAAAAATAATGGTGGTTCTATTTGAGAAAATGCGTTATGTTTACTCCAATTTCGAGAATTTTCTCAATAACATATTAAAACTTATATGCCGGCATGGAATGACTTAACAATGATGTTTGTTTTTCTTTTTCTACAGGAACATCAAGAATAATCTGTTCTTGTTTTTTCATTCTTTCACAGGAACATCGAGAATAATCTGTTCTTTGGGCCAATACCTGAGGAGTTGAAGAGCATACAAAACTTCAGGTGAAAATCAATAACATGCTGTTTTTCACCTTTCAACTTGTTTTTATTCACAATCATGATGCAATCAACACCTGCTTCATTTTGTAGTAAAGATGGAAATCCCTTCAACACTACTGTCATCCCTTCACCACCCACCTTACAACCTTCTCCAGCACCTACATTACCATCCTCACCATCACCATCACCTATTGGAGCTCCTCAAATATCTCCAAATGTCGCATATGGTGAAGTCTTATTCCCGCCACAGCTTTCCATTGGGGAAAAGAATGATGGTGAACACAAAAGCATCAGCAAAATTGTAATTGGAGGGTTGGTTATACTTGTAGTGCTTCTATGTGTATGCCTTTTAGCTTTGTCAAACTTTTGCAAGAGATCACGAAATAAGGGCCACAAAGCATTTCATGCTTTACCCAGCTGGAAAACCCACATAATTGACCAATATATGCAGAAACCAGATAGCCAAGCACAGAAAGGTGAGAGTGTTTGCGATACCATTTTGGGTATGTTTGGGTTGACGAAAATACTTGGGAAAGGGGAAATAAAGTAAACAAAGTAATTCTCTTATGTTTGGTTTTACTTTGGAAAATGCAAAACAGAACTAAATATGATAAGGTTTTCAAAACTTTTCACATGCACTGAGCTTTCTTAGTTTTTTTATGACAGAAATAAATAAAATGACTATCAACGAATATCTAAATGAATTCATTCATTTGTAGCCTATCTTTTATTTCCCTCCACAATCGTCTTTTGCCTCATTGTTTTTCTTCCTTTTGTTTTCCCTAGTATTTTCCGAGGTCCAAACAGGCTCTTAATCTGGTTTAATAAGGCCCCTCTTTCTTTTCTGATAAATAACACATCTAGACTGTGAATGCCAAGAGCAGTTAAAAGAAATGAAACACCAGGTGCAAAGGATCAGGGGAATAATAGTCACATGTCATTGGCATTGAATGAGAGTGGATGGACAAAACATACTAGGATTAAGTCTTCATGGTCTGAGAAGGATGATGATTCTCAGTTGGACATCCTACCACAACCCCCACCTCCCTACTTGACACTCCCTTCTGAAAGGATTATTCAAAATGCAAAGATTCCTCCTATATCCACAACAAACCTTTCTAGCTCAAACATGAGCTCTGAAAGTTGTTACAAAGTTGCAGATCTCCAACAATATACAAATAGTTTTTCTCAGTATAATCTTATTGGAAAAGGCATGCTTGGTTCAGTGTACAAAGGCCACCTACCTACTGGAGAGGTAAATATATATTTATTCATAATATGTATATCAATATGTAGTTTATTGACAGAACTAGTGATTTTTTGGCAGTCACTATTTTTGGTTTATCAGCTTGCTTTTTTGACTGCATGTTTTCAACTTTTTAATAAGGAAAAAAGTGCAGGGCAGAAGTTTTGTTTTGCTCAAGTAGTCAAGTTTGCTAAAAATGATCATTTTAGTTTGTTTAACAGCATTTTTTCTGTTTCTCATCATTTTTTTACTATATCAGCAATTTCAGGGACTTCATCATTATTGCCAGCCTTACCAAACAGACTCTTCCTGTTGTTGTCAATATTTTTACTGTGTCTCTTGGTCCATTTTTCAATGAAATTCTGGTTTGCAGCTGTTGGCAGTCAAAAAATTGGATAATGATGTGACAAAGTGTCAAAATGATGAAGAACTTCTTAAGCTGATCTGTACAATATCAGGACTTAGACATGATAACATCGTTCAACTTATGGGCTATTCTATAGAACACGGTCAACGGCTACTAGTATATGAGTATTGCGATAATGGAAGCCTTTATGAAGCATTACACGTGGATGAGGAGATGCATAGACAACTTTCATGGAATGTTCGAGTACGAATTGCTCTTCAAGCTGCCAGAGCACTAGAGTAAGTTTTATACAGTACTAGTATAGAATCTATTCATTTCCATATAGTGTCCATTATATTAAAAAAAAATAAAGCACCACATTTAAGTTTCTACTGTTTTTTGGCTTGAGAATATGATGGATCACTAAACTGTTTGCGCTTCTTTGTTATGAAGCAGCAGTCAGTCTATGCAATTTTGGACGCGATTTTCACTATGGGTCATCCGGAAACAGTCTCTCTGTGCTTTAGTACAGGGGTAAGACTGCGTACATCTGACCCCCCCCTACCCCACCGTAGGTGGGAGCCTTTGCGGCACTGGGGTAAATGAAAATGATGAAATGATGATTTAAGCTTCTATTGTGTACACTGACCATTTTTATTTTACAACAAAGGTATATGCATGAGGTCTGCCACCATCCAACTTTGCACCGGAACTTTCAATCTGCTAATGTCCTTTTAGACTTGAAGCTTACTGTGCACATTTCAGACTGTGGTTTGGCTGCTCTTGTGCCATCCAAATCCATGGCTGTGGTAATACATTATGATATTATGATTAGTAATAGTTCCTGCAATTTTCTTGTTATTTTTGTGGGAGGAGGGTTATTAACTTTGATTTTGGTATAGATGCTGGAGAATCAATTTTATTCTTTTGTCCACCATTTTTGGGTAAATGAATCCAATGGAAATGAGAAAAAAGCTACATAAATTATTTTCTTGTGTTAAATTTCTCCATGGAAATGCAAAAGCAAATAAAATATGACTAATGGTTTTAAAACTCTTCTTAGTTTTCATGTAATAAAAAAAGTTAATTAAAATAAGTATGAAAGAATATTATATAAAATTAATTTATTGAGCTTGAGCCAATGTTTTATCCCCCCCCCCCCCACATTCTTTCTTTCGGAGTTTCCCTTGTATTGCCATCTCTATTTTCTTTCGTTAGAATTTATAATTTCCCTTGTTCCATACACACATTTAAGTATGGCTAAAGGGTCAAATAGGCCCCTAAACGTAACCGAATTGCTCAATTGGCACCCCAAACCCAAATAAGCTCCAATCCAACCCACCAACCAAATAAACTTGTCCAAGCCCAACATCCAGCCGGTTACCTCCCCTTCGCCCCCCTTAAATGCCCAATCAGCAACTTATTCCTTATGATTAATGCTGACTCATTAATACACCCAACCCCAACCCAGTTACGTGTAAAAAAAAGACCCCCAACACTTAACGCTGAAGACTGCTAACCAAATAACCCTAAATTGGAAATAAAAAATTGCAGAGGACGTGAGTGAGTGAAGTGTTGAGCGCGAAGAGGAAGAGAGGAAGAAGACGTGCCCTAAAGCCCAAGCGTTGAAGCCGTTAAGGTGAACGAAGTGAGTGAGGTTATTCCTTATTGATTCCTATTGTACTTTTGTGTCTGTAATAGTGTGTTATGAAGTAATTTTCGCTGCCTACAAAAGTGTGTTTATAGTGTCTGTGTAGAGTTTTGGTATGTTTTTAAAGTGTTACACTTTCCATCTAGTTTGCTTTGTAGTGAATTGGTACTTGTTTGTGTTATGTTTTTCATACTTGTTTGCTGAGTACTTCATTGGTCGTTGTTTCAGAATGTGGGAGACATTGGATTTAATTTTGAACTATGGTGGCACTCTTGAATCCTGTTCTCCTATGAAGTATAGCAATGGCCGCGTAGAGATTATTAAAAGTGACCCTGATGTAGTCAGTTATCCACATCTGAAAAAGTTTATAGAATCTGGACCATTTGGGGGGTTTGGAAAGCTGATGTATAAATTGCCTCGTGAACCATTGGAATGTTTAAGGGAGTTAGTAGATGATGCTTCCACATTGCAGTTGGTGAGTCTGTCTTCTACTGATGGAGTTTGTGAACTGTATTTGCTGCCACCCTCCACATCTGCTGTACGTGGTGATGTTGGCCCTTTAGGTGAAAAGGAAGTAGGTGGTCAAAACTATGAAGTACAAGTGCAGAGGTCTATTGATGATGTAGCCAGACCTACACATAGAAGCAAGTTAAAACCAAGAAGAAACAAAGCTTCACAGATTGAGTCTGTTGCTGAAGAAGATGTTGAGCTGTGTGATGTGGACATTCAGACCAGTGAAATGGAAGATATCATGGATGATGAAGTAGATTTGGGGAACCAAGAGGATGCTTCTATGTCTGATATAGGGTCTGACCTTGGATCACAATCTGAGAATGAAGATGTTAGGGAGCAGAATATTGGCTTCTTCGGGGCTGAGGAAGGTATGGAAAGTAGGGAGAACAACAATGCCAACTTTGGATCTGAGAATGATGAAGACAATGAGGATAGCATGGACATGTATGATTCTGATAATCCTCCCAATTATCATTCAGATACCAATGATGTGCATGAACATGAAGTGCAATCCAACCTGGACGATTATCATCCCTCATACAATCCAGAGATTGAACCCCCTTTGATTGAGCTGGGGATGCTGTTTGAGGACAACATACAGTTTAAGAGTGCAATGATTAGGTATGCAGTGCACCACAAGAAAAACATTTACTTTAAGAGGAATGAATCTAAAAGAGTCCGGGCACTATGCATTCAAAAAAACTGCCCCTTCTGCTTTTATGCCAGCTGGGAAGATAGGTTCAAATGCTTCCAATTGAAAACCATGATCACCAAACACAGATGCAATTCCAAGTTCAAGCTGAGAGTTGTTAGTCAAAAATGGATACAAGAGAAATACGAAGACAAGGTTAGGGATGACCCTTGTATTGGGTATGTGGCATTAAAAGACCTCATTGAGACAGAATTGGGCATTCATATTTCAACAAGCATGGTCAGGAGGGCTGTGAGATGCATCAAAAAGAGAATAAATGCTAGCTTTGAAGAGCAATTTAACCGCCTTAGAGACTACGGTCAAGAGTTGCTTGATTCTATCCCAAACACTACCATGAAGATAATGACATCCAGAGTTGTTGATGATGGCCCTTGTATGTTTCAGAGGATCTATTGCTGCTTTGGTGCCATGAAAAGGGGATTTTTAGAAGGCTGCAGAAAGATTGTTGGGTTAGATGGTTGCTTCTTAAAAGGACTTTTGAAGGGGGAAATCCTTACAGCTGTTGGAAGGGATGCCAACAACAACATGTATCCAATAGCATGGGCCATAGTTGAGATTGAGAATACATCTTCCTGGGCATGGTTTATAGAGTTGTTGAAGCATGATCTGGAAATTGATGATAGCAGCCCCTGGACTGTAATAAGTGATCAACAAAAGGTATTTTAGCTTCACTTTATAGTAATGCTTCTACTTACTGGTTTGTTTTTGTTGTAAACTGAAATAGTAACTCAATTACTAAATGAAGTCATACTAAATAAATAAGTAGTATTCTTAGGTATTACTTCTTAATAAGTATTTACTGTCTTCAAATTACTTTAGACTAAGTACTACTAAAATGGTTAACTACTGAATGAATAAGTGCTTCCAATTACTTATAATTAATGAATAAGTGCTTCCAATTACTTAGTAGTACTTATACTTAATGTGTACTAAATGGTAGTAGTTACATCAATAAGTACTCTTAAGTGTTTACCTATTATACTGAGTAGTGGTTACTAATTTCTAAATAAGTACTTCCTATTCATTTATACTAAACTGAATCAATGAAATGGTAGTAAATGGTAGTACTTGAGGTAATAAATAATGAAGTATATTATAAGGAAACTCACTGAATTAGATGTTGAACTTACTTTACTGAGTCTTGAGCAGGGTCTTACCAATGTCATCCAGACCTTACTCCCTCAAGCTGAGCACAGAAATTGTGCAAGGCACATACATGCAAACTGGAGCAAGAATCACAGAGGGAAATACATGAAGCAGTTGTTCTGGATGTGTGCTAGGTCCACATGTGAGTCACAACTTCAAGAGTGGCTTCAAGAGCTTCAAAAAAAGGATGTTGCAGCCAAACAAGATCTGGAAAATTATCCTTTCAAAACCTGGTGCAAAGCCTTCATTGGGACTTCTGTAAAATGTGATGCAGTTGACAACAACATGTCAGAGGCTTTTAACCGAACACTGGTGGGGTGTAGGAGCAAACCTATCATTCCCATGCTAGAAGACATACGGGTTCAAATGATGCAGAGAATTGCTAAAAAGAGAGATCTAGCTGCAAAATGGAAAGGTAGGATTTGCCCTAACATCAAGAAAATTCTGAATAGTAACATATTGAGAAGCTCAAAGTGGAGGGTGGTATTCAATGGAGATGATGGCTATGAGGTTAAGAAAGGGAAGTATCAATACAAGGTAAAGCTGGAAGGAGGCACTTGCTCTTGTAGATCTTGGGAGTTGACTGGAATTCCATGCCAGCATGCTATATGTGCAATGTTTGATCAGGACAAGGATCCAGAAAGTTATATTGATGATTGTTATTCAATTGCTGCCTTCAAACGAACTTATTCCTACACTTTAGAACCCATTAATGGGGAAATGGCTTGGCCTAGAGTAGAAGGAGAGAAAATACACCCCCCTGCACCCAAAAAAATGACTGGACGCCCAAAGAAGAAAAGAACCCGAGAGGAATCTGAGCCTCCAGCTGGCAAGCTGTCAAGAAAGGGAAGGGTCATGACCTGTTCCCATTGTAAGCAAAAGGGCCATCAAAAACATGTGTGTCCAACAGCTCCACAAGGCAGTCATCAGTCAGTGAGAGGAGGCAGGGGTTATAGAGGTGGAAGAAGGGGTGGAAGAGGTGGAAGAGGTGGAAGAGGTCAAACTGCTTCAACAGGTGGAACAAGTGAAGCTACTTCGACTTCAAGATCTGCAAGAGGAAGGGGTGGAAGAGGTGGAAGAGGTGGAAGGGGTGGCAGAGCTGGAAGAGGAAGGGGTGGAAGAACTGAATCCATTGTGGGGGGGGGGATGAGGAGGTAGTATAACAAATGTGTTAGGTGTATGAATTATGAAATGTAAAAGTAGTACTTAATTATGGTTGGTTGGTTGGCCTTTATGGCTTTTGGGTCATAACACTTGAGGTACTGCATTTAGGTGGCTGGGGTTTTTTGGGGTTTATGTTATGTGGATTAATGTATGTTTTTTAATGTTTTTGTCTATGTAATAGTTGGTTGTCAAAGTACTTAATTATTCGGATCTGTACTCTTGGGTGTTGTTCAAATGCTATGAATTACTGAGTATGCATTCTTCTTCTTTATACTTCAGTTTGTAATTGCAAATGTGGGGTCCTGCATATGCTTTTTGGTTGTGTGGGTTGGGTGTTGCTTAAACTGATAGGTTGGGCAGGTGGGGTCTTGGACATGAATTATAGGTTTGTGGTAGGGTGTGGCTTATATGTTCGGATCTGTACTGATGGGTTTAGTATGTGGGGTCTTGGATATGCTTTTTGGTTTGTGGTAGGATGTGGGTTATAGTGTATTATTGGTTTCCTGAAATACTATTAAAGGTGGGGTGGTCTTTGGTTATTTGAAGCAGACAGGTACATGAGGTGGGGTGGTCTTTTGAGTGACATGGGAATCTTTTGTGCATTATTGGTTTTTGCTTTTGGGTCCATACCCTTTATGTAAAGCTGCTTCTTCACATGGGTTGTGTATGGCCGTTGGCTTGCATTTTAGGTACACTGCTTAAGTTCTATAATTCATAACTACATAATAAGGCAACACAATAAGAAGGTGGATTATAAAAAAGCTTCAATCATCATTAACAACATTATTGAACTTCAATTATAGGTAACAACTACATTGAACCAGACCAAGTACATTGAGTTGATTCATTAACTCCAAAGTTTTACATTGGGTAACAATCATTAACTCTCGTTGGTTCATTCAACCAGAAGACAAAACTACATCTAACAATGGATAGAAACTAGATTGAGTATTCTGAAATTAAGAAGAACAAGACAATACTTAGCACACAAATCCAAACTTTTACAATTTCTTAACAAGAACTGCTACAACCACAAATATCACAAGTCCTTGCCACATTCTCTTCCAGAATATCTTCTCCTTAGCTTCAGTTTCAAGAACCATTTTGATGCTCTGTATATCATGTTGCATAACAAGCATAACCCTGTTCAGCTCTTGAATTGAGGCTTCCAATCTCCCAGTAACACCCATGTATGCTCCATTGTCTTCATGGAAACCGGCTACATCCTCTTTCCATAGAAAATATCCACACCCTAACCCATCCTACAGTCACAATCACACAATCACATTTTCAACCCTTTTTTCAAGTATACAAGTTCCAAAAAATATAGGTTTTACAATTACAAACAATTTTGCCCAAATTTCTACTAACTTCCACAACCATTACACGCACCCCCTGAAAAACCCCTAAATATTTGAGAGCTTATTACCTTCCATCTTTGGCATCCATAAAACTGGCGTCCGCTTTCCCGGGTTGTACAGAGTCGAGCTTTCACACCACACAGACAGTTCGGTTCGTACAAGCTCGTTTTTCTTCCCAGTGCAGACGAAGAAGACGCAGACATGTCTTTCTATGTCGTCCCCTTTCCTTGGTCTGCAATTTGAAATGGAGTAATTTCGTTTGGGGGTTGGGTGTATTAATGAGTCAGCATTAATCATAAGGAATAAGTTGCTGATTGGGCATTTAAGGGGGGCGAAGGGGAGGTAACCGGCTGGATGTTGGGCTTGGACAAGTTTATTTGGTTGGTGGGTTGGATTGGAGCTTATTTGGGTTTGGGGTGCCAATTGAGCAATTCGGTTACGTTTAGGGGCCTATTTGACCCTTTAGCCTTTAAGTATTAATGAGAAACCAGTAGGTAACAAAATACACACAAAACACACATTTTATCACAACAGTAGAACTTGAAGAAAAAATATTTGTTGCTCGCTGAAATTAAATCATGGACTATGACGATTAAGCTGCAAGGTTGTGGCTATGGAGCACCAGAACTTGAACTGGGAAGCTATACTTGTCAGAGTGATATTTACAGCTTTGGTGTTGTTCTACTAGAACTACTCACAGGGAGGAAATCCTACGACCGGTGAGCATTCTTTTAACAGTTGGGGTTCTTACTTTTAAAAGAAATATTAATTAATACCAAGTTTTAACAAAGCAACTTACATGAACTTTATAAAACTCAAATCTCAGGTTACGACCTCAAGGAGAACAATTTCTGGTCAGATGGGCAGTGACAAAGCTTCATGACATAGATGCATTATCGAGAATGGTTGATCCTTCTCTAGCTGGCAAATATCCATCCAAGTCTTTATCTCGGTTCGCTGACATAATTTCTTTGTGTATTCAGGTCAGAACTCAGAACACATAAGTATAATACATTTGCATCAGTTCTGTGTGTGCATGAATTCGATGAATCTTTTGCATGATTGCTTCATAAAATATCCTCTGGTGTTTGAATGGTACAGCCAGAGCCAGAGTTCAGGCCGCCTATGTCTGAAATAGTGCAGAGTCTGCTACACATGATGTAAGGAGGCCAGAGACCATTGGGAGAGAGATCAAAGAAGACGTGAGAGATGAGAGTTGGGGAATGTCATATTTCTGGTGCTACACGCATTCACGGACTCAGAGCTTATTTGTAGACTATAGTTTTTCAGGCACCAAATGAAAACGTCTGGTTTTTATAGTACAAATGTGCATTGTGTTTCTTTAGTTCTTGGAAGAACAAAAAATGTAGATATATGTATCAATGTATCATGTATGGATGGATGGATGTATGGATGTGTCATGTGTGCATGCATGCAAGTAAGCATATAAGCGGAAGCAAATTAAGAAAAAAATCCAACCCCTAACTGATAACATCATCATCGTAGTACAACAGAAACGCATGAATCCCCTTTTAAGTGATGAATAAGAGTAAATGATGTTTATGCTTGCCAAATTCATCCATCAAAATTATTTATGATTCACTATTTTTGTTGCATAAAAATGAACTATCCAACCAAAACTATTTCCCTTTTACGTATTTATTATCTTGGCTTTTGAAATTATAACTTGTTATCTTTTTAATCATTAATTATGCAAATCATATGAAATTATGGCAATAAAATACTATTAAGTGATTTTTTGGTATATCTTCTTGAAATATCCATGTGACCGTGTATTATAAAAAGTTTACATCCATGTGAGTATGTGACTATGTATTATAAAAAGTTTACAAACATATACTAGTACTTCGTATTATTATTAGAAATATAATAGTTCAAGATTGACACTGAGAAGTCATATTAAAAGTAGTGTTCCAAATAAGACAAAGGCTGTAATAGATATATCTTAATAAATAAAAGAACGGGAATGCAAATGGAATATTCAAATTAGTCTTAATTCATTCATTCATTGTGGTGCATTTGAGGTTCGCTGAAAGAAAAAAAAACTCGCTTTTAAATCCATTGTCCAAATGTCTTTATGAGCTTTATTTCTAACTCAAGATTCACAGAAAGATTTGAAGATTTGGAATAAAGAAGTTTGGTATATATTTCTCTTCAGGGACATCCGATAAAATTGGAACGATACAGAAAAGTTTGGAATATTTTTTATGAAGCTCTTTCAGTCCTAGATTGAAAAACACCTTCGAAGTTCGAAGAAACCAGAAATGGACTTCACGAGTTAGCGTCTAGACAAAATGAATATGCAAGCTTATGCCTTTTGGTGGAACACTTGTCTTGCTCCAATCTGTTTTCTTATCAGTTTTTGTTTGTATATGTTCTTCAAACCCTTAGCTTGATCCCTGCTCTAAGAGATGATGAACATCTACTATCAAAAGCATGGTTAATGCAACATTTCTTTGTCACATAAACCCAATTATGGTATCCTCACTTATTGTTAAGATCCGGGGTTCCATCCTAAAAGGTCAACCTCATAAGAGGAGTAACCATGTCTTAATACTACCTCCGTTCTTTAATTCTTGCAACATTGTGATTTTTGCAATATTCAGTAGCCTTACTTTGACCACGATTTTCTACTAATATACATAATCAAATTATTACGTATAAAGTGTTATTGAATTCCTATCATTGTGAATTTTCAAAATATCAACTTTTTATAATGTTTACTAATACATAATTAAATATAATTACAAGCAAAGTTGTGCATTGGCAAACGTGAAAGTCAAACTGTTGCAAGAATTAAAGAACGGATGATAGTATAACATTTTATTCCTTCACAAATTTCCGGTGTGGGAATTTAACACCCCTCCTCACGACCAGACACTTCGTCTGGATCGTGTCGTCATTCATTTTTTCGTCGGTTCGTCATTATCATTTTTTTTATAATTGTGTCGTCAATTTTTCATAATGGGGCCCACACCATGGATCGATTAGGCTCTGATACCATGTTAAGATCCGGAGTTCCATCCTAAAAGGTCAATCTGATAGGAGGAGTAGCCCATGAGGTATCAGATCATTCGACCATTTATAATTTTCTTTTAAATGTGTTATTATAAAGACATTATTTATTGTTGAATTGCGTTTAGTACAATCATATGTTCATTTGTGTAGATCTAGTAACGATTGATTTCTTTTTAAAAAAATTACTTATTTGCTATATAGTACTCTGTAATTGATAGATATAGTAGAATTAAATGAATGCATTCTTTTTTATTTTATTCCGCAATCGATTATTAAAAATAATTGCTCCTCCATTCCGCAAAACTACTAAGTAGAATGTTTTCAATTTGGCTATTTTAAATCTCAGAACAAATGAAATGAAGCTTAAACATCTAAATCAGACATAATTAGAAAGTTTCAGCTCAATTGAAAATATTATTTACATTTCTTTTAATTTATGCTCTGTTCTAAAAATCGTTCTAGGCGTCTGACTAGTCCCCGCCTAGGCGCTAGGCGGTGGTCGGGCGCCCCGATTTTCGTCTAGGCGCTCCGACTAATTGGTTAGCCGCCTAGGTGAGTTAGTCGGCCGCCTATGGCGCTTAGTTGCCCGCCTATAGCGCCTCATCGGCCGCCTAGACCTTCTAGATTCGCCAAACATTACTTTACTTTTCAATTTTAATTTTCTAGCGTTATATGTACTTTAACTTTAGTCATAAATATTACGAAATGAAGTTGCAAATTAAGATAAACCTATATATTCCCAAATTTTATCATTATTTATATTTATAACATTATGAAGTCAAGTGAGTAGTTATCATGTTTGTTAATGCATATGTATATGTTTGGTACACACAAAAATACAATATTACTTATCATATTTATGCAAAAATATAGATAAAAATGAAATTTATATGTCTCCGACTAGTCCCCGACTAATCGCCCCGCCTAGCCGCCTATGCGCTAGGTGCTAGGGTGGTGCCCGACTAGCGCCTAGCGCGTTTTAGAACATTGAATTTATGAAATAGATTTTCAAGAGAAAGACTATGCTGATTTTGGATAGATCGGCACCAACTAAACCGGGAAAAGAAAACAGAGAATAATGGCCAATTGTATCTAGCTAGGGTAATTAAGTTGGTAACATGGTAATGCTATAGAATGCTATGGAGTACTTCCTCCATTCCTTTATTTTACTTTTTAAATAAATAGATAAATCCATTCCCAGGATAATATATTAAAGGGATAAATTAATGATAAAATTCAAAGCTCCCTCTCGAGTCTAAAAATATATTCTCATGAAACATCACCTTTTCTTTTATGTAGTAAACCAATTGTGGGAAACAACCTAACGTGCATAAATCTAGACAAAGATTTTAGCACGAAAGAAGTATTTAAAATGAGGAAGAAACAAAAATATTCTGAAAATTCTCACAAAAATATATTTTGAAAGTAATTGGTGGACGAGAAAATATGGGATAATCACGTGTTGTTATTATTATGCTGATACAACTTGAACACTAAAATTACATTTCCAGTCCAAAAAGCTAGAATCTGAAGAAGTTACTCAAGTTAGTATGTTTAGGCATGGTTGTCAAAATCTAGATTCTAAAATCGTACGATTTTACGATTTCACTAAAAAGGATCGATCCAAATCGTGAGCTAAATCGTGTTTTAATAAAATCGGCTGAAATCGTAAATAAAATCGTGTGAAATCGTTCAAAATCGCGATTTGTTGCGATTTGTACGATTTGGGTCATGGCTTCAATCTGAACAAATATAAACTAAAAAAAAAGAAAGTAAAGCCCCACTATGCCGCCGCCGCCCCACGTGCGATAAGTGCAAAGCCCAAATAGGAAAATAATACCCTAGTACGTAGTAAAACCTAACTCCTTGTTCCTAAAATCTTGTTTTGGACATTTGAATACTGCCTTGGTCATGCTACCTACGTTGGCTACGTTATTATCTTGTTTTGGAGTTTTGGACATTTGAATACTGCCTTTGGTCATGTTAGCTACGTTATTATCTATTTTGCTAACTTTACTTAATATATATATATATATAGACAAATGTTCAGGTCAGGAGCTCCTGTCCGGACCAAGGCGTTTGGCCGCCTTCCCGGTGGCTTTTTTTGATGAAATTTTTATGACATGTTCTTCATCAAGTCTAGTTTATCCACACAAAAAATTCAGCCAAAAACTCAATCGGGAAGGTCGTCAAATGATTTTTGCAAGTTAACTGGTCCGGAATATAAAAATTTCATCAAAAAAAGCCACCGGGAAGGCGGCCAAACGCCTTGGTCCGGACGGCGGTTCCGGTCAGGAGCTCCTGACCGGATCATTACTCATATATATATATATATATACATATATATATATACATATATATATGTGTGTGTGTGTGTGGATGATTTTATCACACGAGTTGACATATTAATGTTAATTTGTTGTCTCATATATTCTAGATATTTTATTACTTGTATTTCATAAAATCTTACGATTTGCGATTCGATTTTACGATTCGATTTTTAAAACCTTCCACCGATTCGATCAAAATTTACGATTTTAACAACCTTGTGTTTAGGCAATCAAGTTTATCTGTGCCATCAAATCCCAATTTGTTTTGTAAATAAGAGGGGTATGCCCGAATTGTGGAGGATTTTAATGGAGTTTGGAATTTCGTCAGAATTCAGGTGTCCTTGATTTGGATTTTTGTGAAATCTATGAAAATAAAGGGATTTTCAAACATTATGTGGATTTCTATTATTACTTATTTGTATGGATTTTAGTAGATTTGGTGGATTTCTACGTACAAAAACATTACACCATAAATTTTATAGACACTAATTGGATTTAAAAAATTTTGATTTTTAAAGTCTATCAAAGTCATATTTGGAGACACCGCTGAGTTTTGAGTGCTCAAATTAAGGTTTTACAATAAAAACTTAATAAAAATACGTGTGATTCTTATATCATGTGTAATCGTGTGTAAGGTTTCGTTCAAAGGTACGATATTTCCAATCTTTATAAAAACATCTATCCTACAAACAATGCAATCTCCACTCATATCAAATGTAAAATACACTTCTTCTAACCAGTCCATAATGTATGAGGCAAATGCTTATATTTCAGTTAGGTTTGTATTCCATGATTATGATTCTACTGTATATGCCCCCGGCCCCCATGCCTTGATACTTGTTTGGTAATAGATATTTTCAAACATACATATCTTAATTGTCATATTTTTGTATCAAATACTGATTCTAAGATGACAACAATTAT